GTTGGTCTTGCTATCCATATATATTTATGTGCTCTCCTGGCTATGGTATCAGGTTCAGCACATGGACTCCAAATTCCACTCTGAGGTATGCTCAGTCAAATTTTCTAATTAGTAAAATCCAGTAGACTGGATAGGCGTGTCCTAAACTAAATAACCATCATTTTTTAGGCTCTGAATTAATTCCTTAGAAATAATTTTTTTCTATTTATTTTTAAATTTCTGAAGGGTAAAAAGTCAGTTCTTCAAGTCTAACCAACTACATACTATCTTTAAAAGGAATTTTCACCATCCAAGCTACACTGGACAAGCAATGTCATTTGTTGTACTGAAAACCGTGGTGTCCAATGTTCACTCAGATAGGACACCCCCAAACCAGTTCCAATTCTCTTGCTCACAAGTGGGCAGATCAGGACCACATGGAGAAGACCAAGCCCAGTGAGCACTTAAATTCTTTTTTTTTTTTTATTTTAAAGACAATAAAATCAAACAAAATAAGACAGAACAAAGGCAATCAAAACAAACAGAGAAAAGAAAGTACAGAACTTCAAAACAGGATAACAGGAAATCAACAACAGCTATCATTGTAATCTTATCTTCACAATAGTTGTCCATTCCATCAATCAGAGTGAAATCAAATAAAACAAAACAAAATAAAACCAATCAAAACAGAACATTAAAAAAAACAACAAATCAGGACAAAATAAAACAGAACACTGAATTTCAAAAACAAGGCAATCTTATTTCATAACTTACTTGTTTTCTAATAAATGTACTTGATGTTTAAAAAAAAAAGACAAAAGGAAATTCCCCCATATTTGCTATACTGCATACTGTTACCCTCCTAAAAGAAGCTGAGACTACTGGCCTTAAGCCTGCAAAGTCAACCAAACAATACAAGTTGTTTCTGCACCTCAGTTATTATCAACTCAGCCTGTCCTCTGAACCAGCCGGTTGCTTGGGGTGGGAGGGGGCTGATTCTCAGCCCAGTGCTGGTCAGCTCAAGGGAGAGGTGAACTAGCTTCTCTCTCGCTGAGTCCCACATGATTTGCACAGCTTACTGGGAGAGCAAACTAGCTTCCCTCTTTCAATACAAATCCTTTCAATAAGGGTATCTAGAAGCTTCAGACCTATATATCCTAGCCTATTATGGCACAGCCATTTCAACAGATTCCAAATGGATTATTTGTCCACAGCCCTTTGCCTGCACATGGCTTCTGTCCTTTCAGTTTCATATGACAGCTCTGTCACCACCCCACCCTAGGTGATGTAGAATTTAAACATTAAAGCTGTGGTGTCTAGCTTTCTCATCCTTTCCAGTGAGTATCTCGAGCTACTGACATTTTTTATTGTTACATGAAGTAGAAAAAGAGCAAGTATTTTGAATAAATGCAAGTGAGGAAAGTAAAGCAAGGATATAGTATGTCAGACTTTCAAGGCTCTCACCAGCCCAGAGGCCCAGTCTGTTCCTGGAACTAAACTACTCCAGTCCTGGAGGAAGGTAACTGGTTCCAGAGTACCTTATCACACATCCTCCTTTCTGCTGAAGCTATTCTCCCAGGGTTTCTATTAAGCATAAGTAAGAGCCTTACCTACACATGCCTATTCCTTTTCTTCACATCTTTTCATTATCCCCTCCTTACCCATTAACTTTCCTGTCACTGACAAAATACCACACCTACAATTTAAGGAAGGAGAGGTTTATTCTCAGTTTTCTACATAGCAAAATAATGTGTAAATGTTTACTTTCTGAGATGTTCATTCATCTAATAATAAAGCAATAAATATCCAGTAAGTGTTAGAGTAAGAGAAACTGTTCTAAGAACTGACGACTTCGGTCAAAAAAATCATACAGGGCAAGAATTTAGCTCAGCAGCACAGCACCTGCCTAGCAAGTGCAAGGTCGTGAGTTTGATTCCTGATACCACCCTCCCATTGTACAGTAGTAAAAACCACAGTGAATGCACAGAATAGTTTAAAAAGTCTTATTAGCTATTCTTACTATCCTACTCCCACTCTCTAGAGATTGTCAAACAACACACACATAATCTGAGATATTTAATTTCTTATTCCCTTCACACAAGAACTATATAGTATGTTCTTTTAACTTAATGTACAGTCTTCCTTATAAAATAGTGATTAATTCCTAAATTCACAGGGCTGCTGGTGCATTAAGTGAGTTAATACAAAATACACGAGAGCCTGGTGGATAAATTCTTTCCAGTTACTGAATCAGGCAAAAATTCTTACCACTTGCTGAACTGGGTGATGTATATATTTTAAATTTTCACACTTTCAAATTATTCTCTAGAGACTGAGGCTGCATCATTTACACTCCCACTCACAACATATGTGCCTATTTTTCTACACTACCAATAATGGTTATTATAGTATACAAAATTTTTAGTAATTGGCAATCTGTTTGATTTTTATGTTAATGCAAGAAGCAATAATTTCTATAATCCAAAGCTAATACAACACCCATTTAAAAGTTCTTATAAGTCAAAAATGGATGCGCTTGCTTAGGCAGCACATATACTAACTGAAAAATAGCGAGAAGACACACCAGGCAAGAAGTCAAACTAAAGAGCTGATTTGGACAGGAAGAAGTATATACCCCAAACCACAGTTCTGTCCCTAAGCCCTTAGTGCATCCACACTTCTCCATTGCTCCTTTCCACTCTCGTTTTGATTTAGGTTTATCTCTATGACTTTATTTCCCATCTCTTACTTATTCTGATTCAGCAACTCGACCTTTCTGTCCCTCAACCAAGAGGGCATAGGCTTTTCTTAGGTGTGGACTAGGATGACTGCAGTCAATGATGAGAATGTCTGGATATTGAAGGTAAAGCTAATGGGATTTACTAATAAACTGGATGTGGGATAGTGAAAATAGACAGATTAAGATTACAGTTAACTCACAGGTTTGGGATCTGAACAACTAGTAAATTGGGGAATCATTTACAGAAATGGTAACAATTAAGAAAAGTATAAATTACAAACTCTGCTTTGGACAGTTAAATTTGAGGCGTCTCTTTAAGACATTCAACAGGGCAACCCACTCAGGACCCCTACTGTCTCTCCTGACAGTTTTCTGTCCCCAATAAATACATTCTGCTCTTAACCTCTGTTGTTCCTAGAATTCATTCTTCAGCTTCAGAGAACATAAACTTGTACCAGACATCTTAGCAGGTGGGGAGTTTCTTTTCCCTATAATATTTGGAGATTCTCCAACAAGATCATTGGGCAGAGAAATGGGGAACTATGTGACTTGCTTCTCCACTTATCCCCATTTAATTAACACTACCTAAGCAATTATGCTTGTAATCTTATTGGTTAATCATAGTTTTGTCCCACATTTTGCCCACTTTGTGATTTCCCATTTTTCCCCACCTTGGACCTACCTCATCTCATGGTTTTGCTCTATAAAAATTTCCTAAAATGACAGGGACCTCGGCAACCCATGAGGGACTCCTTCTGTCTCTCCTAGGCAGAAACCTTCTTTTCCCAATATATTCTGCTCTTAAGAAGAAAGTGGGGAAGAGTTACCTCAGCGGCACAGTGCCTGCCTGACAAGTGTGAAGTCCTGAGTTCGATTCCTGGTACAAAAAAAATAGAATAGAAAAAAAAAGACATGCAACAACCTTAAGGATCACTCAATCTTAATTATTTATTCAATAAATAAGTGTCTATAATGCCAAGCACTACACCGGCAGTAACTTTTCTAAAGAATGAACCCGGTTCTAGAAATCCTTTAAAATCAAACAATACGATTAGGTCAGCTATTCTGAGGAGGCAGAAAATGCAGTTTTCCAAAATCTAAACAAGGAACGAAAAGCTCTGCAGGATGAAAAACATTTGAAAAGATTACGGAATAGCAGAAAGTCTTCAAAAAAATGAGGTTTTCTACGTTAGGTTCTTGGGTCTGTTTTGTTTATTTGTGAGAGGTGGTGGTACGGAGGACTGCACTAGGGAGTGCAGAGCTACATCTCTAACCCTCCTATTTACTTTGGGATACAATTTCCCTAAATGGACTAGGCTGGCCTTGAACTTGCAATTCTCCGGCTTCAGCTTCCCGAGAAACTCGGATTACAGGCATGTACAAGTATGTTATACACGTGTGTGACTATAACAAAATGAAACCCTACGGTCTCTGTAACTAATATGCACTCATTTTTTAAAAAAATGAAAGATGGACGTGAATGAAACATAAAAGCGCAGGAGGCCGAGAACTGTTGCTGCGGTGGGGAGAGGATAAACTTGTAGGCTCCTGTTGGTCTATTAAAAGATCAGGGGATTTAATACAGACAGTCACTTCAAAACCTGAGTAGGGAGGAAGGGTGTGACCGGGCCACGGAAACAGTCACAATATTTCTGTGCCTGAGGTATGGAAAAGACTCAAGTGGAATTTTAAGAATTTATTATCTCCAGTTTCTGTTTATCGACCTTCAGAAACAAAGTCACAAACCTATGCAGCTCAAGGGATCTTCACACTGCTAATCAAACTGGGATACCATGTGATTCTAACCTCGTCAACGATTTCGTCATCTTCGTCCTCTTCTTCGTCACTGTCTTCACTTTCTTCGTCTTTGTCTTCCATTTCATCTTCCTCCTCTGCCTCTTCGCAATGAACCTGGGCTTCCGACGGCCGCGAAACCCCGCTCGCCACAGCTCTCCTTTTCGCCCTAGATGCCATGTTGCCGCTCACACTGCGCCGGCACAAATTTCACCCTCTAACCTTTCGGACCAATTATTACTAGCAGGTGTAGGAGACATCAAAAATTCGGCGATGAGTCGATGTCAACCCCAGTGACCCTACTGAATTACATAACTCTGATGTTGAAGAGTCCTGTACAACTTAAAGGTTCTATCCAAGCCTTTTATTTTTCCCTTCATCCCCGCCTCATTTCCTTACTCCTTCCACGTCTCCCCCACTTCACACAGTGGTTTGATCCACCTAACCGGCTTCCTTCCGGCGCGTAGATGTCGGTGCGCATGCGCAATCGCCCACCAATGCACTGTGCTGAGTCCCAGAAGTGGGCACCAGCTCTGAACTTCCTGGGGTGGGATGTAGTGTGTTGTCCTGCAGTTGAGCACTTTGGTGGTGGGGGCCAATTCTATTGTCATTCCCCTGCAGCGTTTTCTCTGGGACTGCAAGATCCCGCCTCTCGACGTTGCGGAGCGTCGTGCAGGGCAAGGTCCCGCTTCTTAGCCCTTTGGGGCCCCTTCAGTCCCGCGAGGTAGGTGTCTATGCTCAATGTCCAGCATGCACAGCCTGGGTTCCCGACGTTCAGGGCTCTAGCGATAAGTGACATAGTGAGGCCGTGACTCTGATCTGGTCCCAGTTCGAATGTCAGCTAGTGCCCGCGCAGATTAGCACCGGTCTTTACGAGGCTCTTAAGAGTTTTTTTTTTTTTGTTTGTTTGTTTTTTTTTTTTTTTTTTTTTTTTAGTCATAGAGATTTTCCGTGTTTTAGAGGTGGGGAATACAATAGTCTAAAGTAAAGGCCTGAGCCTGTTTTGAGAGGGTTATTGAAGGGAGGCTGTGAGACACAGGAAAGTGTATGCCTCAGTTGCCTTGAGCCGTGGTCAAGTGAAAGTACTGCTCCAGGGTTGCCAGAAGCTGGAGTTCTGCATTTTTACTAGAAATATTTTGATTGATAAAGCCTGCACTGCGTAAATAGGATCTACCAGTTAGGTTATCCCACAGACTACTCATTTTGATGTAAAGGCTGTTACTTAGAAAGAAGATCATTAGGGAAAACATCAGCTTTCTGAGAGGGAGATCTCTGGTTTCCCATCATTATTCGTGTAAAAGTAATGGGTCGGATGTTTGATTTGTTGATTTCATAATGTTTTGAGGCCTGTACCTCTTCCACTGGTTTCTTTTGATTGGTTTTATTGTGTTTTATCCTCTTTAAAATAATAAATAAAAATTTACTTTTTAATGTAAAAGAATAACAAAGCAAAACAGAATGAGCTGCCTTTAGTAGTTAGGTAGTCGTTGCTGGAGAGGTTTAAGCAGAAGCCTGATGATCTCTTCACAAGTGAAGCTTTATCAGGAGGCTTGAGAATCAGGTGACTCTGAGTCCCCATGATGGTGTTCTCTGCTATCCATGCCATAGATATTACACTACTTAATCAGAGCTCCACACTGTTGGTATGGCTTAGAGTAGCCATACCAAGTCCTACAACTGTGCAAAATATGTCCTTGTAATGAATACCTATCAAAAGGCTAAGATTAGGAGAAAGAGACTCAAAGCACTGTACAAATATGTCATTGAGACATCATGGGTCATTTCTTCACCATTTCTTTGCTATTTCTTTATATATTTCTATTGAAAAAAATCATATATATATATACATATATATATACCACAAATTTTACCATTTTACTCAAACTTTTAAGTATATAGCTCAGTAACATAAATACATTCGCAGTATTATACCGTCATCCATCTCAGCACTTTTTCTCTTGCAAAAAAAAAAAAAAAACTACTCACTGTAACCCCCCTGCCCACCCTCTTCTCACACCTGCACAAACTGGAAACCACTCTAGAATTATGTAGGTGGAATTTTTTTTTTTTTATGGATACCAGGGATCAAACTCATGACTACCTGCTTGCAAGGCAGGCACTTATGCTGCTGAGCTAAATCCCCAGCCTATATAGGTGGAATCTTAAAGGAGTGTTAGTGATTTTTTTTTTTTTTTTTTGGTCTTTTTCGTTTTTATCGATACCAGGGATCGAACTCACGAGTGCCTGCTTGCAAGACAGGTGCTTATGCCGCTGAGCTAAATCCCCATCCCCTCTTAAAGGAGTGTTCACGTGTAAGGATTTCCATCCTTGGCTGAACAATACTGATGAATTATTTGTCAATGAATATTTGATTTGCTTACACATTTCAGTTGTAAATAATACTGCAGCAAACCTAAGTGCATAAATGTATCTTCAAACCCTGCTCTCAGTTATTTGAGATATACATCCAGAAGTGAAACAGCTGGATCATATGGTTAATTCTGTTTTTTTTTTTATTTTTATTTATTTATTTATTTTTAACAAGGTATTGGAACTGGAAGTTAATTCTGTTTTTAGTTTTTTCAGGCACTGTGCTTTTTTGTAGTTTGTCAGTCTTTGAATGAGTCTTTCCCACAGTCTTTGCCAAGAAAGGAAAAGTATTTCATTGTGCCCTCAGATAGTTCCTAATGTTGAATTCCTAGTCATGATGTGAATTTAGCAAGTGTAAGCAAATGACCCAGCCATGGTTTTGATGGTCAAGAAAATACATGACAGGCAATGGTAGTGCATGCCTGTTTCAAAGAAATGTAGTATGTGCTGGTGTCACATGCCTATAATCTCAGCACTTTAGAGGCTGAGGTAAAATGACTCCAATTCCAGGCCAGTCTGGGCTACATAGCAAAATTCTGCCTCAAAAAAAATAAGTAAAACACAAAGAAAAGAGAAGATAATACTGATCCCAGGGAACTTAGAGACTAGACTGATTACCACTGGCTCAGTTCTCTTTAGCACAGCATTTATCTTAAAGGCAGAGAGGTGATAATGAGTGGTGAGGAGAATAAACATGGGCTTCAGACTTGAATTCAGATTCTGTGCTGCCACTTAAAATGCTACATAACCTTGAGCAAGTTACTCAAACCCTACAGGAGCCTTGATTTCCCATCTTGTAAGAATAAAAAGAAAAAAGAAAAATACCTACCATGCAGTCTTGAAAGAGGACTGCAATCTTGCACATAAAGTGCTTAGCCCAGAGGATAGTTGATGTTTTGTGTCAGCTTCATCGTGCCCAGATGTGTGGTTAAATGTTTCAGAGTATGTCTGACAGTATTCTAAGAAGAGATTAGCATTTGAATCCATATACAGTGAAGTTAAAGCAGTGGGCATTATCTGGTCCACTGAAAACCTTAGTGCAAAAAAATGGAAGAGAAGGATAGGATTTACACTTTCTGCCCCTTACCTGCACTCCTTACAGGAGTACCTGGTACTCCTCATTCACAGGTCTTTAAACCTGGACTGTATACTAGCAGCTTCCAGCTCTTCATACTATACCACTAGCTTTCCTGTGTCTCTGGTGTTAAACCAAAAATATTGAGATCAAGGACTCTCTGAAATAAAGAGTTTATGGAGCCAAAAAGGGGTAGTCCTTAGAGCAAGTTCTACAGTTACCAGCAACAAGGCTAGATAATAATTGGAAAATTGTCTGCTCGACCTAAAAGCCAAGAGAATTTTTATAATGAAAATGTGGAGAAAGGAAAGCATCAGCTGTTTATGTTGACCTACATTGACTATAAATAGGACGGGCAGCATAACATGAATTGGGAAAGTTTTTGAAATAGGACAGTCCATAAGAACCACTTTTTGGTTCTGGATTAGTTGAGGTTAGTAGTTCGCAAAACTTAAATAAACAGAAGACCATGGCAGCAGCTGGGGTTTTAAGTCAAGGTTTTAACATTTAGGAATGTAGAATAGTGTATTGGTTTTAGCCGATATGAACTGACTAATTTTCCTTATTACTTTCCCAACCTCTTTATAATTAAATTCAAGGCATTTCAGAATTTTACTTTATTTTTTATTTTTTATCACTAGCTTACAGATGGTAGTCCCTGAGACACTTCAGCCTCAGTGATCATGTGAACCACTACCACGTAATGAATTTCTTTGTAGACAATAGGTATATCCTGTTGGTTTTGTTTCTCTTGAGAACCCTAACACACGAACTAAGTAGAATAGTTAGCACTCGGTTAAAGGATGACTGCTGTTATTGCTAATACTCAAAGCAGCAAGACACAGGGTATATGTGTTGGTTTAAGGCCTAGTTCTTTTTTACCAGCAGAATGTCTTTAATGCAGTCACTCATTTCTATATAATTTTTTTTTAAGGAAAAGTGATTATTCCTTTTTCAAAGATAGTAGGTAAATTTAGAAATGTTTTCCCACAGTGTAAGCATGTATTTACTAAACACCTGCTACGGAAAAGAAAAGCCCCTCCAAAAAGCCAGCAGATAAGAGGCCTCCAGTCTGTTTTAGAGCTATAAAACTAAAGCTAAGGGAGGAGCAAGCTAGACCAGAACCCAGGCCTGGGCCCCTTGTGCAAATTCCCTCTACCAGCCTCTTCCCCAAACATACTGCATTCACCTGATTGTCTGTGCATGCTTATCAGTTTCTTTCTTGCCCGTGATATGGGAGTGAGTGTGACAAAGCACCATCAGCGGTGGTTCTGTTACACTTGGAGCTGCTTTCAGTGGTGGCAGAGAGGAAGGAGGGGAGTAATTTGATTTTATCTGTTGGGTGTGCAGCACTTGTGAGCACTCTTCAACAATTACCATCAAGGAACCCAGCTTTATGCTACCACTGGTTTTATTACCTAAGACAATCAGAATAGAACTCAAGAGTATTTTTCTGTTCTCAGTGGATAGACTGACAATGCTTTCACATGTTTGTATGGTTTCACTATTTTGTACTGTAGTGATGCTTTATATTGTCATACTTCTATTTTCCCAAAAGTTGTATGCAAAAATGTATGTGTCAGCATATAGCAAGAGAAATTGAGAGCACAGAATTTAGAGCCAGGGTGTCTATAGTCCCAGAACTTAGCAGTTCTGGACTTTGGATGGGTGTCATCCTCCATACACCTCAGCTTCCCTATAAACCTCATGGATTTACTGCATGGAAATCCTGGTAGTTAGGAAATGCTAAGTGTGTTAGCTATCATTTTTATCTCTGAGATACTCAACAGCCCTATGGTTTGTTAGAAGTTTTTTCCATTTAATATGGGAGAAAAGAAGATCACACCATGGTGAATAATAAAGCTGGGACCAGAGCCCTGATCCCTCACCCCTTAACCCTGTGTTACCACACTACCTACCTTCCATTATCTCCATAAAGACATTGAGCATAAAAGGGCAAGCAGAAGTGAAAAGACCAGTTAAGTCCATAAACAAGAAGCTTCCCATTAAGATTCAAACTCCCAAACGTGACCCATAAGAGACGCAGTATTCGCACCCCTGCCTGCCCCATCTCTCACCACTCTGCCTTGCACTTACCAGCTGTCAGACATAAATCCATTCCTTAGACAGACCCTCCTCAGAGCTTCTGCAGTTGTGCTACCTTTTGCTCCGACTTTGAGTCAGCATCTAAGCATCACTTCCTCAAGGACACCTCTCACCATGTCTTTGTTATGATGTAGGTTCAGCTACCTGATACATCTAAATGAGCAGTGGATATGAAGCTAGAAGCGAGTCACTGGTCAATTCTAGCTACACAGTTTTATTTTAGGCAAAAGTACCCAGTTAACAGTGAGGGGTTCCATTCTGATGAGCAAGAAGGAAGAGAGGAATTTGGAGGCAGCTGGCCATCTATGCCATCCCTGCCGGTCCAAAGAAGATTTGGAAGTATGCTTTCACATGTTTCCTCTGCATTTGGATTTTTCTTTCATACGACTCACTGCCTCCAATCAGATACAGTGGTGCATGCTTATAATCGTAGGTACTCGGGAGGCTGAGGCAGGAGGATCACAGGTTCAAGGCCAGCCCGGGTAACTTATGGAGAACTTGTCTTAAAATAAAATTTATAGGAGTTGGGAGTGTAGCTCAGTGGTAGAGTGTCCTGGGCTTAATCCCCAGCACCATGGGAAGTGGAGGAGACTTAATACCACCCAATACTATGTTTTTGTGTTTACAGCTTTGCAAAATAACCATGAATATCATGATGCTGGGATTATATTGTATGCTTCATGCCTACTACAGTTACTATTCTGTAAATATTTGTTGATCAAATGAGAAGAGTAAATGAGATAAGCCTACAATGTTCAAGGTTTAAAAAAAAAAAAATACATTTGTTTTCAGCCTGGTCCCAACCATTTCAAGCTAAGCTGTGAGCAGTAGTTTCACCCAGAATTCTGTAAGTGCCAATAGCTCTGCCCTCAGTGTGAATCTGTCATCCAGCCACGTATTTACTTACGCCAGTGCTCTTATCAGGAACTAAACATTCCTGGGTTCTGTCCTGGAGTTTAGTTGCAGGTTCTTCTCATCTTGAACAAAGAATTGAATAAAATGAGGGAAAAGCAGTGGCAGAGTTTATTTAGGAAAGTAGAAGTGAAGAGTAGGGGAGAAATTAGCACTGTGCAGAGAGCTTGGGTGGAGTAAAAGGAAAAAGCAAGATAAGGACGCAGGGTGAGCTATCGGGGAAAAACCACAACAGCAAGTTCTTCTATGCCTTTTTTTTTTTTTTTTTTTAAATCGGTACCAGGGATTAAACTCATGACCACACACTTTTAAGGCAGGCGCTTATGCTGCTGAGCTAAATCCCCAGCCCAACAAGTTCTTCTTGTGCCTCTCTTTTAGGCTGTCCAAAATGCAAGGAAACCTGAGAGAACTTCTACATATGGGTTCTGAGACGCAGTGCTGGGAACCCACACCTCAGGCTGAGGTCAGGTCTCCTACTGAGAATCTTCTCAGTTGTGGTAAGAAGTCTTACAGTTAACAGGTCACACCAACTTCCCCAGCTAGTTTTGTCATACCCTGCTTGCCTATCAGTACTGCCACCACAATTCTCATCCGCCTAGTTTGCTGTGGCCCTTGGAGTCCTGTCCACCCTTGGCTATTGAAACCTGTGTTGTTTCTTTTTTTTTTTTTTTTTTTTTTTTTTTTTTTTTTTTTTTTTTTTAATTTTTATTTAAGGAGAAAAGAAAAGAAAGAAAAAAAAACAGTGAAGGGGTACAAGTTATACAGGTTTACAGAATAAAAAAATGCGCAGTAGGAAATCACTAGTTAATGGATTACATATTGCCATCTTAGAAATAATTGTTCAAGTCACAAAATTAAAGCTTGTAGAGTGGACATTCCAACAATGATACTGCAAACAGTTCTGTTCAATGATCCAATAAAACTCTGTGATATCATTTTCTATCTTATACTTTTAAATATACATGCAGTTATATAGTTTAGAGCACTTTCTTTTCCTCTCTTTTGTACAGTGACTATTACACATTTTGGGTTTCATTGCTCCCACAGTTCTTGTTGCTAAAACCTGTGTTGTTTCTAAAGCGAGGATCCTGTCACTGACGTGGCTGACACTTTTCAAAAGATTCTCGTGAAATCCAGTCTGCCTTATCCATACACTTAGGCCACACTGTGCTTCTCTCCTGAGGACACTCGAGCATTTCTTTTCACTGCTATTATCATTTAAAGCTTAACTCAGAGGTCACTGCCCCAGAGAGATCTAAGGGTAACTATCTAGCATAAGCCCTGTCAGTCTGCCATATAACCCTTTAGTACTTCTTAGTACCTGAAATTATCACATACATCCTCCAGGAATTAATACAGACCTAAGCTCCGTGAGGGAAATTCCAGCTCAAGGGGTTTGGTGTCAATACCTGAGAAACTAGAAACACTTGTATGAGAGAGACCCTTTGAAATCACAGGGATGTGTATGCCAGAGCCTGGAACCATGGTGGAGGCAAGAGAATGGTCTGAGTAGCGCTCTGATTTCACAGATTGACCTGCTCCCTCCAGCATCATGCTTCAGCCCATTAATCACATTAATTGCTTGCTCTGTGAGTCCTAGAATTTATGCTGCAGCAGGAAATGCCAAGTTTTCCTTGACATTTGTGATATACCATATTCACTGAGCTCCCATTGGAAGGTGTACTAGTCACAGCTGCAGCAGGAAGAACCAGAAGAGATATACATGACATTTATTGAAAGGAATTGGCATGTGCAGACTGGGGGCTGGCAAGGCCCGTCCAGATCTACTAACCCACAAGAAGGGTGGGCTGTGCTTCAGTTGGGGTCAAAGCTGCATGTCCACCAGTGGAATCTCTTTCCCAGGGGAGCTTCTGCTATGCTCTGCTCTTCTTCAGGCCTATACAGATTATCTAGGATAATCTTCCTCACAAAACCCTGATGACAACATGCTTGATCACATTTCCAAAATACCTACCTTCACAACAGCACCCATATTAGTAACAGGAACTAGCCTGACCAAGGTGACATAAAAATAATTGTTCCCAGGGCTTCCAGGGAAATGGTGAGTGATAAGCAAATCCCAGCCTTCTGAGATTTGGGATCCAGACGCTGGAAAATAACAAATTGGGCAAGAAAATGGAGAGTAGGTCCCCAGCAAACAAAGGATCTCACAGGAAAATTAAAACCTACAGAAAAATCAGAGACAACACAACATAGAAAAGGAAAGGGTCAATCTGCACATTCTCCCCGACTCCTGGCTCACAGCACATGGGAAAGGGAGACTGAGTGTATAATGTGAATGCTGGGGACTCCAGAGACAAACACAGCAGTGGAACAGATTGGTGTTGTGAGCTGCAAGGAGAGCGTGGAATTCCGCTCCCACGTAAGTCCTTCGTAGACATCAGCTGATGAGGGTCTCTTGTCCATGCACCCACCATATCCCTGGAGAGAGTGCACCACTGGTCAGACACCACTCTGGGGAAGGCTGATTGTTTGAACTCGCGACACAGCAATCACTAAACAGCCTCACTTGAGAGCTCCTAGTGTTACATTACCACAGAGACTGGGTAGGAGACAGCTGTGGTCAGGGAACCAGTCAGGCTGCAAAGAGACCCCTGTGGTATTTGAGCTACGGGACACAGGCCCTGAACCAAGGCCCATGGCCAAGGACCAAGCTCAGCCAGAATTGCTCAGATTTGAAAGTTGTTGCATTGGCCCCTCTTCCTGATCCTACTGCTGGCTGGTGCCTGCATCCAGCATGGCTCTGGGGTCTGACTGCCTTTATCTACCAGTGTAAGCAGGGACCCTTCCTTACTTGTACATTTCCCCAAAATTGTAGATCCCAGAAGAAAACCACACATTTAAAAATCACGGAGAAATTTATGTCTTCTGTGGTTTTCTTTCCCTGTTTGTTTTTATTTTATCTTCTTTCTTAATTCCTTTCTTTGATCTTTTTCTGATCCATTTTTTTTCTCTGACCTTTACCTAATTCTATAAAATCTTTGTACTCCCCAATAGGATCCTTTGTACTGCTTCTCTCCCTTCTCGTATCATGTAATTTAAGTTTCAAATTTTTCCCCTTACATTCCACTATGCCCTGTATCTTTTATAATAGTATAACCATAAAGCTTTACTGACCACTTGTTAGTCAACTCTGTAAACTCTGTAAAACTTTTTTTTTTTTACCATTAACAGAGATGTAGTTGTTGTATTTAATGCATATTAGCTACAAGTCAATACCTGCGTGGTCTTAATGTTTACACAATAATTGTGGATTTCTTCTCTAGGGTTAAGCATGGTGTATAATTGGTTCTTGTGGTATTTAATATCCAGTTTGTTTTGGATGATACTACTGTAGCCGACTTGCTTGATATTACCAGGGTTGTATAATCACTGCTATTTCTCTGTGAGCCTGCCCTCAGATTGTCTTTGTGACATTAACAATGCTAAAATACATTCCCAGAGAACTCAGTGTTTGACTAATTACACTGCCTCCTCCCTCCCAAATTAAACCAGTTGGTCAGATCTTGGGACTGAGGCAAAGGACTACAGTTGGCTACATCTAAAGTACATCTCTGAAAAGCAACTAAAAAGATCTCTGACCAGCAACAAGATCTTTCCAATATAAGCAGCTACAAATCTCAGCACACAGCAAACCAAACCAAACAAACAAAATAATAAAAACATCAAAAGACAGGGCAACAAAATGCCCTCCAAAATACCAAACTCCCTGAAGCCAATCTAGGGCACATTGAGGGTAGAGTAGCATAAACTACGCTATTAATAGTTTGGTGCTTTGTCTTTCAAATAGTAATTACCATACTACTTTGAATTCTGTGGTTTTTTTTTTAGCTTATCCATACAGTTGGGATATTTATGAATATTTTAATGATGTAATAGCATAGCATCATGCCATGATTTATTTAAGGATTGTCTCATTGTTAGAAGTTCAGATTGTCCACAGTCACTTGCAATTATAAAGAGGATAATTGGCTGGGGATATAACTCTGCCGCTTACGTGCCTCCCTGGCAAAGTGTGAGGTTGAGAGTTTGATCCTTACTACAAAATTTTAAAAGAAGACAAAATCAGCATTTTTATGTTAATCTTTGTACACGTTTAAGAGTACTACCTTTTTACTTATTCTTTTTTTTTTTTTAAAGCCAGTCAAATTTAGCAGTGGGGGGGGTGGTACACCAACTTTAATGGCACTAATGTTAATAAGTTCTGATAACCCTCTGCCATTGAACCGGCCTACCTTTTTACTTATTCTTAAAAGTGAAATCTAAGAAAAAAGAATACAAAATATATAAGGTTTTAAAATACATGTCAAAAATTGTTTTCCGGAGTCCAGAAGAACATGGTGGATAGATAGCAGCAGCCTCAGAGGCTCTCTGAGAAACTGTACTTGAAATCCAGGCATGGTGCTGGGCAGGAAGTCCCAGGCAAGGGGGGATATTCTTTGCCAACCCAGGAATGAACTAAATTAAGAGAAACCATCTGGAAACGCAATCCTGGTGATACAGCAGGAATAGATCAGGTCTCGGCACGGAAGCTGGAGACCGGCCACTGGAAACTGTGATTTGAATTACAAGGCACAAAAGCTCGGAGAATGGGAAGTGTTAAAAGGAGTTGGGAGCGGGACTGGCCGGGTGCCCTGCATCAACCCTCAGTGAGTGAGCGGATCGGGACCATTCCGTAGAGAAGGAGGCTTCAGCGGAGGACATACTCAAACCGAGCAGACTTCCCAGAACAAGATGCTGCAGTGACTTCAGTCACATATCCCCTTCTCAAGCGGGATTGGTGGGGAATGCCTGGCCTGCAAGATGCTGCTGGCTGAGACCCAATAGGCTAGCCCAACTCAGGTCCCAGAGCCTGGAGGTGCACCCTAGTGGTGAAGCCTTCGGTAGGTTGACCTGGAGGGGCAGGCCCGGCATAGACTGCCCAGGTCTGTGTCTCCCTGGTGAGCTGCGGTGGGCGGGAACACCTAGCCAGCGCAATTCAGACTGTGGCCGACAGGGAAGGAAGCTGGGCCTCCTATACACGCTTAAATATAAGGAACAAAGAATATGGGGAGGGAGCAACAAGAAAGTGTCCTCGGCCCTCAATGCTGAGAAACATGCAATGGCAGACACGGCACCAATAGACATAAAGCGCTACCTCCAGAGCCTCATACACGAGTTCAGGAATGAAGTTATCTTTTTCATTTTCATTTTTATCAGTACCAGGGATTGAACTCACGACTGCACACTTGCAAAGAAGGCATTTATGCCGCTGAGCTAAATCCCCAGCTCCAGGAATGAAGTTATTAATGACCTGAAGCAAGACATAAGCAGAATAGTTAGAGAAATGCTAAGCACCGCCCAAGAAAAAACAGATGGTGGAATGGAAGAACAGAAAAAAAGGGGAGAATTGTTGGATGGAGAAGATAGAGAAAACATAGAATATGTAAAGCAGGTTCAAAGAGATTACCAGGAAACTAAAAACTCTTATCGAAAACTGGCATAACAGCTTGAAAGAAACTAAGGACAGATTATCTGAACTGGAGGGCAGATTTGTAATATGGGAGCCTGAAATGAAAAACTTCTTAAAAATAACAAAAAAACAAACAGCAACAATACAAAAACTAGAAGATGAGAAGAGGATCTATAACTTAAGAATTAAGAACATAAGAGAAGAAGTGGGGACACAAACAAATGGACTACAAAAGCTATTCACAGAAATAATCCAAGAGAATTTCCCTAATTTGGCAAATGGTAAAGATACTCAGATATATGCATACAGGACTCCAGCCACCTACAACCCAAACAGAGCTACACCCAGGCATATAATAATCAAAATTCCAGAAATCCAATATAAGAACAGAATATTAAAAGCCATCAGAGACAAGAAACAGATCACTTACAAGGGAACACCCATCAGAATTACAGCAGACTTCTCAGGACAAACCATCAAATCACAAAGAGCGTGGGGAGGAAATAATTCAAGCTTTGAAAGATAATAACCTCCAGCCAAGATTGATATATCCTGCACAACTGTCCCTAGAAATTGATGGAAAAACAAGGTGCTTCCAGGATAAAGAGGAACTAGGGGATTTTGCAGTCACTAATTCAACTCTACAGAGAATACTGCAGAATAGTCTAAAAAAGGAAAATACCAAGATTCCAGAAACAGTGGCAGAGCGGCCACAATGAATGGAGCAGAAAACGAAATGAAGAAGACAAAATGACAACAAATGACAGAAAAAGAGCTCAACAGAAATGAGGCAGAGAAGATTGGATGGTAGGAACAGCTCTTTTGGAGAAAACAAGATGTCATAATAGCTAATGCTGATTTAGTATCATCTTGTTTTGAAGTCCCAACAAACTTATATTCTTCTGTCTCCATTGATCTTAAAAGGTTCTATCTGATTGTATTTTATTATATATGATAATATAAGCAAAAACTTTTATAGACAAGGAGTTTATATAGAAGCCATTGTTCATTTTCTGTTAATTGGTTCTAAATACCCTGTAGTAATGTCATTCTCTTGAATGGTTTTATAGTGTCTTGATATGTTTGGTGCTACAGTATAAGAAGTTATACTCAAAGATTTCAAGGAAAGAGACACTATGGTAACTATTTTTATGTCAGAATATCTTGTGGTGAAACACTATTTTAAATGGTTATGATTTGACCTGTTCTGTTCTGTTGTTATGCCTTCTTTTATCTCAATCCCCCTTTTTTAAAATTATTTACTTTTTTCTTTTTATTTTTTTAATTAAGGGAAAAATAAATAAAAAATAGCAAGATACATTATAGTAACCTACTTTGATTTCCTATTAACTTGATTTGAAATCCTGTATTGCCCTCACCATCTTGTTTTGACTGATTTTCCTCTATTCTGCTTTGCTTGATAGTACCAAGTTCGAAAGTATAGGCATAACTGTGAAGACAATAAGAATCATTATGATGCCCATTCTGGTTGACTATTATTTTCTTTTAAAATCCTGTAATGTCTCCAATGCTTTGGTTTTATTCTTTATTGTTTAGTTCAATTTTATTATAACTGCCAATTCTTATTAAAATAGCAAGAGGCAGTATGGTAACCATTGTTGATCACCTTATATTTTGTTTTTACATTATCTATTACGTCCATCCTTTTGATTTGACTGACTCTGTTCTGATATGTCGCATTTGGTTTTACTCTCTTCAAAAAAAGTAATAAGGACTGTGGGAGTAATAATACCCAAAATGTGTAATTGTCATTGTACAAAAGAAAAGAAAAGAAAGTGCTCTAAAGGTTATAACTGCATATATGTTTAAGTGTATAAGATAGATAACCATATTACTGAGTTTTTTTGGGTCATTGAACAAAACTGTTTGTACTCTCTCTGTTTGAAAGTCCACTTTTTTTTTTTTTTTTTTTGTCTTTTTCCTTTTTATCGGTACCAGGGATCGAACTCACGACTGCCTGCTTTCAAGGCAGGCGCTTATGCCGCTGAGCTAAATCCCCAGCCCCCTGAAAGTCCACTTTATATGATTCAATTTTGTAACTTGAACAACTATTTCTAAGATGAGAATATGCAATCTATTAACTAGTGATTTCTTACTGTTTATTTTTTAAATTTTGTATTACTTGTACCTTTTTCTGTTTTTTTCCTTTTTCTCCTTAAAAAAAAAAAATTGTTTTCCAGGCTGTTAGATATCTCATTACATTTGTCAATATTTATATCATTTCAGAAGTAGAAAGGTCAATATAAGTATTTCCTAATGTGCTTAACAAAGCTGCTTAGTATAATTATCGTGAATTGCAAATATTTATTTGCTTATCATTTTAAAATGTAAGATGTTCATTTCTCATATTGATGCAACCTAGAATTTGTACTTCTCATCTGTAAGCCGTAACTGTTTGGTATAGGACTTGTGACTCTCATCTGCCTCTCCAAGTGATCTATCAGCTGCTAACATGCTCTCCCGCCTGTGGCCTTATCATTAGCAGGCCTCTTCAGAAAGAGCATGGCCATAAAGCCAAGTCATTGTGGGAGAGGACAGGTCTCTTCAGCAAAAGGTTGATAACCTCCTTTTAGTACTGAGTCCCCGTGCAGCACTGCTTAGGACATCTTTGAGATCTAATAAGATTGTTTCCTTGCTCTGTAGCTGTACCCCCGCAAGAACTTCCAGGTCACAATGAAGGTTCTTTTACTGAAAGATGTGAAGGAGGATGACTGTGGCCAGGATCCGTACATCAGGGTGAGTAGCAGAGACTCCTACTTTGAACTAGTGCTTCCTTGGTAATGAAGTCAAGGGGCTGGAGCTAGTGCGGAGGTGGGGGAGAGCTGCTAAAAACTTGACACAGAATAGAGTTTGTGTGATACCATGACCCTTTACTTATTTTCAAAATAGCCCCAGCCAACCTGGAACTGCTTTCTTTCATTTACAGGAGTTAGGATTGTATGGCCTTGAAGCCACTTTGATCCCTGTGTTATCATTTGAGTTTCTGTCTCTCTGCAGCTTCTCTGAGAAGGTAAGGGCTGTCATGTCTGACCTCCATGTTCACATTTAGTCTTTCTGCAACCCTTGCCATCCCAAGCAGGAGGGCCTTCTGTTAGCCCCTCCTTTTACCTCCGATGGGAGCACAGGGACATTGCAGCCACCTTGCCTACATGAGGCTACACTATGGGCTTCTTTGCTGAGCCTCGCTCCACTCCAGTGAGCAGTCTGAACTCAGAAACAAGACTTGTGAGAGCATCACATCTGTGTGACTCTCAGTTCTAGGACCCTTTCATTACTTAATTCTTGCCCCTGACCTCTGTGCAGCAGACCCTACAAGTGTTTACCCATTTTAGAGATACAAGCCCCAGGTTAGACAGCTCAGCCAAGACCCCTCCCCAGAAAAGGGCAAGTCTGGGACTGAAGCCCAGGACCTCTGTCCACCCCATCAATTCTCCCAGATATAGGAGTGACCAATATTCCAAGGAAATAGTCCCGGCCTTCTAAATGTTTCAGATTAAAGGATCTAGGTTGGGGATATAGTTCAGTGTTTAAGCACTTACCTGTTATGCACAAGACCTTCAGTTTGATTCCCAGTACCCTAAAAGTGAAAGGATTCAGGGTCTGCAACTTGAATAAAGTCCGACATGCACAACAACCCAGGGTCTGGCTTGAGTAAATGTTCAGTAGATTGTATCATCAGTATTTTATGCTTGAACTCAGGGCTTTGGCATACGGCTCACTTCCAGAATATCCCAGTTATATTACAGATGCAGGTCAGGTCTGCTGCCCTCCTGCCCTTCAGCCCAGTCCCAGGCTGGATCAGACCCCTCAGCTGCAGTTACACCCTTCACTGTGTTACACTCTGTCTCTTCTCTACATGTGAGCTTTTTGAGGGAAATGCTTTGATAATGAACTCATCTGCATATCCTAAAAGGCCTAGAATAATTCCAGGTCCATAGTAAGCGCTCAGTAAGGGTTGGATAGGCAGAGGGAAGGATTGGGTGGAAGGAATCACTTACCTATTGCTTACGGAAAGCATTGGATTTGTGGGTCATAGATCCCTGGGGGGGGGGTCATAGATCCCTGGGAGATACTTTCATTGCTTTTTGACGTGCAGCTGTCTCATCCAGAAGATTACGGGGGACTCATTTTTACCAGCCCCAGAGCAGTGGAAGCAGTGGAGCTGTGTTTGGAGAAAGACAGTAAAGCTGAAGGTGAGAGCTGGCCTGCTCTGACTCTGTTTACTCTTCCTTCTCTCATGGAGACACTAGATTCCAGAGTTAGCTGCATTTGGTACAGAAGTGGATACATGGTGGTACTGAGCTGCACATGCTGCCCAGGAAACGGGAAACAATGCTGTCTCCTCAGCTCCCAAACAGGGTAGAGGGGAACTTTCTGTCCTTCCAAATGATTGCTTGCTGGTCATTCAAGTCTCCCCTCAGAATGTACAAAGTTGTTTCTCTGGAAGTAGAATAAATACCACTCTAGTTAAAGAGTTGATGGGAAAATTTAACAGTATATGAGAAATGTTCCACACCATACCAAGTTCTTAATAGCACAGCTCTCTCTTCCATTCATCCACCCCCTCCCCTCCCTCTCCATCACAGCAGGATGAAAAAGCTCTGCCCATTAACTGAACCACCCTCACCACTCCATTTGAATTGCCTTCGAGCTAACATTTATGGAGTGCCTTTTATACCTCAGGCCCTGTGTTAAGCACTTCTCATTCATTAGCTTACTTGGTTCCAGATAACGGTCCAGGGACAGGCATATGTGATCTCACTGTACAGGTGAAACCACTGAGGCTGGGGAGGGCCATGCCCACGAGTGGAAGCAGCAGGGAGTGTGGTTAGTGCAAGAGCTCAGAGTGCCCTAGGCCTGGCTTCTTTATCCAGTTTTGACCTTGGTGCGTTCCTTGGCCTCTCTGCCCTCTCAGTGTCCTTGCCCTGAAGACTACCAAGTCCCTGCACCATGGGGTTGCTCTTCGACTCCCCACTAAATAGAATGCATTGGATGCCCATGCTAATCCAGGCACTGTCCCCAGTCTTCATCTATAAAGTAGATGAAATCAATGCTTCCACTTGGCAGGAGAGGAGCCTGAAGAACAGAAGGTACAAACTTCTCAAGGGCAGAACGTCTGAAATTTACAGGTTTGGGATTCACACTGTGAAGTCTGAGCCTTAAGAGGAGCATCTGCCGCATTGATGGAGCTGTGGGCAGTGAGGGACAGTGGTGATGGGTCCTCGCCATCTCTCTGCACACTTAACTAGGCTTGCTTTTTTCAAAGCAAGAAAGAATCTTGGGGCAGGGAAGCCCATCACTTTCTCCCATGGGCTTCTGGCTAGGTACTTTGTTCTGCAATCGTATTTTTCCTTCCACATGTGCTTAGAAGGTGATGATAAAGAGAAGAAAACCCCAGAGTAAACACTGGAACTTTTTGTTGTGCTTTGCAATTCAAAAAGCATTTCTCTTAAGTTTAAAACTGTTGATTCTCATGATAACAACATGTGATGGGCAGAAGAAGGATAGTTCACCTAGTTAGCTCCGTGAAGACAAAGACGAAGGGTGACCTGACTCGCCTGGGATCGCACATTAGGCTTACACCTGAGTCACCTCTGCAGCCAGGCTCTCTGATGCAGCCAGTGCTCACTCCATCCCCATTCTGCTGTGGATAATTTTCTAAGAAATGTTACTTACGTTTGTGGGATAAATAGGAAGGCAAAGCAGTGTGGGTTACTATTTAAAAATGCTATCCCTCAAGGATGTAAAGTATTGAATATAAAGGAAAGTTATGCTTATATTATATTTTAGGAAGAATAACTTATTTCTTTGTCTTCTAGAAATATTTTGAGGGCTGGGGTCTAGCTCAGCAGCACAAGTGCCTGCCTGACAAGCACGAGGTCATGAGTTTGATCCTGGTACCCGCCCCCCAAAAAAATGTTTTGAAACTTCATTGACCTTATGATGTTCTTATTGAATTCATTTTTTCTCTCTGGTTCTTTTATCCATATTAATAGATCTTTACCATAAAATAATAATATTCTGTATTACATTGTGCTTGGTAGCAAAGATGAAATTTATTGTTTCTACTTTGACCACATGAATGAATGAGCCTTCTCACTTGAGATTATGGCTTGTTAAGATCTGTGTCACAAATTAAGCTAGCTTACTGACTTATTAGACACACAGGTTGCTTTCTTTTTAAATGACTGGTGACTTTTTCTTTAAAAGTCCAGATTTTGATTTTTGTTTTTCTGTCTTTTTTGAAACAAGGTCTCGCCATGCAGTTCAGGCTGGCCTTGAGCTCACTTTGTGTAGCCCAGGCTGCTCTACAATTTGCAACGATCCTCCTGCCTCAGCCTCCCAAGTGCTGGGATTATAGCCATGCACCACCATAGCTAACTTGTAGATTTTGAAATTTTAATATCACCATGCAAATTAATTCTTCAGGTTACATTTGTTTTCTAATACACATTAAAAATGCTTCACATGGTACTGTACTTCTGTAATCCCACTTCGGGGAAGGAGCTGAGGCAGACAGATCACAGTTTTGAGTCCAGCCCAGGCAGCTTAGTCACTTAGCAAGATTCTGTCTCAAAATAAAAAATAAGAGAAGGGCTGGAGATGTAGCTCAGTGGTAGAGAGGGATAGGTTCTAGTGCCAACTGTGGAGATGGGTTGTTTCAAGCAAGTCATACTGAAATATTTACCAGTGTGACTTTTAAAATATTTTCTTGCAGACTGGTAACATTATGAAAACGGAATTTTAGTTTGAAATGCTGTTCTTTTTTGTTTTGGTTTTTGTTTTTGTGGGATTTTGGTTTTTTGCTTTTTTTTTGAGATAGGACCTTGCTAGGTATTCCAGGCTCCCCTCAGCCCCGAGGCTTTGCACAGTGCTGGGATTATAGATATGTGGCCCGCTGAGATACCATTTTTGCAGTTGATTCTTCATGGTTTGCTTAGGATAAACAAGCAACTGTTGGTAACAGTCCAGATGGACACTTTGGTATTTACAGCGCATGTACAATTCCATGTTCTGCAGACTGGGAAAAGCCTCTGAAAGAAAAATGGAGCACTAAGTCGGTGTATGTGGTCGGAAAGGCTACTGCTTCTCTAGGTAAGGAGTCAAGGTAAAAATGCCGCAACGTGACATCCTTCTGTGTCTTTAAAGTACTTTAAGTCATTTTTAAAGTAAATAAATATATAATGCTACTGATAAGCAAACAAATATATTAAAAATTGACTAAGCAGTGTTAACCATTAGTTCACATCTCTAAGAAATACCTGAATAGTAGCTATTCAGAAGTTTTATGTGTTTGTAACCTTTGCCCCACAAATCCCACTATGAATGTAAGTACTGAATGCCGCGGAATTATACATTCAAAATGGCTAAAATGGCAAATTTTTTTTTTTTTTTTTTTTTTTTTGTCTTTTTCGTTTTTATCGGTACCAGGGATCGAACTCACGACTGCCTGCTTGCAAGGCAGGCGCTTATGCCGCTGAGCTAAATTCCCAGCCCCTAAAATGGCAAATTTTATGTTATGTATTTTTACTACAGTTAAAAAAGGTAGACTCTCAAGGTAGTTGGTATTCTAATTTTCTAGTTTTTCTAGTTTTCTTACTTTTCTCTGTGTCTTTCCAAATAGTTTTGAACTTACATCTTTTAAAGCATAAAAGATAAACTGGAAATGTTAAAGTTAACATTCAATATTGCAAACACTTAATGCTTAGCAATTTTGAATAAGTTAACATATAACTTTGTTTCATGTTCCCTTTAGTCCAAATCAAGTTAAAAATATCAGGGGGAAGTGTGCTGTGACTGAAAGTAGTTTGGAAATTAAAAGCACATTTTCCAGGAAACAAAACGAGGTCGGGGAAGAATCAGCTTGGGAGTTGCTACTTGGGCTAAAGATGATTTCTTCATCTTTTGCACTGAGCCACTTTTGCCACAAACTCAGTAAGTCAGGCAGGACGAGGGACTCCATGCTCACATGCCAAGGGACCCACCTTTATTCTCTGCATGTCCCACGGAAGTAAGTTAAGATTTGCTTTTACTTTATTCTGCTATTTTTTTTTCAGAATGAGGAAAGGAAAGAAAGTAATTTAGGCAGTTCCTTACTTACGTACCAAAAACCCATCTGTCTTGTGTGTGTTGTGGTTATAAATTTTTCTGCTTGAATTCTTGTATTTCAAATTCAGACTTCACATGTTAGCTGTAAGCATTTTGAGCCACCACACACCCTTCAGTTTGACTTTAGCAGCGTTGGTATTCATCTTGCTCTCACTTTTTTAACAAGTGAGAAAATACGAGCCAGCTCTGTCTTGAGATCTGGAGCAGCTGAGAGTGGACCATGGGCAAGCGCATGGCCTCAGGTGGGCGCTCGACCTCAGGCTGGTCCACATTCACTCAGTTGTGAAGAAGGATGTGTTCTAAATGCTGGGAACATGTTGTCCAAGGAGAGATGAAATCAGGGATTTGCAACTTCAGAAATATCTCTTAGGAGTAAACCAACATGTTTTCTTAACAGCAAATCAGTTACCCAGCTTTGGACCTTGAGTTGCAGGTCATCTTTTTAGATGTGTTGTACAAAGGAGCTGACTTGAGTGGACACAGACAGGAGGCTTTGCTTGAGTTTTCCTTTCACCCAGAGTCTGAGCAAGAAGCTGGGTACCTGGAGGGAATAGAGTGCCTAAAGCTGGGGGAGACCAGGCTCTGTTTGTCATCTTGGACTATGTAATGAATTACCCCAAAACTTAGTAGCTAAGAACATGAGCGTTCATTATCTCACTGTTACTGTTGGTTAGAAATCTGAACATGGCTTAATTTATTTTTTTGCCCAGATCTGTTACCCTGCTGTAGTCCTGTGCTGGCCAGGGCTGCAGACATCTTGAGCTTCTCTTCCTTCTATTGCACTCCATAGCTGTAGCAGGCCTCAAGAGAATAGTTTTACAGATCACTTACTTGAGTCTCTTGAAATTGCAGCAGGCTTGCCGTATTCCAAGGAGATTCCACACAATAAGGAAAGTGCCCACCAACAGAAGTGACATCCCATCACTTCTACTGGTTTTTTGTTTGTTTTATTCTAGTCATTTGTTTGTTTGTTTGTTTTTTTGAGACAGGTTCTCACTATGTAGTTCAGGCTGACCTTGAACTCACTGTGTAGCCCAAGCTAGACTTAGGCTTGAATCACAGTGATCTTCCTGCCTTGTGCTAGGATTACACACATGTGCCACCACACCTGGCTCATTAAGTCTTTCTGCAGTAATGGAAGAGATGATGTAAGAGCATAAATCCTACACATCACTAGAGGCCACTTTGTGTTACTCGGGATCCTGGGGTCAAGCTGCAGCAGAACAGCTACCCTAGCTCCGCAGGGGCTGTGGACCTGGTTAGGAGAATTGGACATTGAAACAAAGAGAGGAAACAGTAGAAATTTTTCTCTAAGTAGAAGTGAAGATAGGATATAGTGAACAGCGAAAGGTTTCGTTGTGAAAGTCCAGCGAGAGAAGGTACCACCTTTTATTTGTGAATGTTGCAACCTGACTTCCAAGTTATCCTATTATTGATTACTGATAGATGAAGAAAAGTACCAGGTGTAGCTTTGCACCTGCTCTGCATAAAGCCTGAGAAAGTGAAGTGGGCTGGATAATGTGCTCATTTTGGTGGGGTTTGTTTCTCTGAAGAATCAGAGTTGATTGGCTTGGGGGCTGATATGCTCCAACTCAGCCAGTCTTCCATTTGCCTGCCCAAAGGTGAGGTACAGGGTTGGTGCCTAAGAACCAGTGTTACCACTGCTGCTTGGCCTGGTGTCCAGACCAGAGACTCCATGAAAGACAGCTGAACAACTAACAGTGCAGAAAGACTGAATATTTTGTTCTTTCTGATTATGTGTATTTTCTGAACAAATTATCCATCTATGGTTATTAGTACAATTAACAACATTACTATTTTTGAGTTTTAACAATATAATAGGCACTGTGCCATGATTTCTCATCTTCATAAAGAGTTTCTGATTTGGGGCTGGGGATTTAGCTCAGTGGCATAAGCGCCCGCCTTGCAAGCAGGCAGTCCTGAGTTCGATCCCTGGTACCAATAAAAAGGAAAAAGACAAAAAAAAAAAAAAAAAAAAAAAAAAAAAGGAGTTTCTGATTTAAAGCAAAGCAACTGAGCTAAGAGAGGAATATGACATTTCAAGGTCACAATTTTAGAAAGTGTCACAGCATTGTTAAAACCCATGACTGCATTTTTCCAAAGCCACTTCACCCACTACACAAGAATGCAGATGTTTTATAATTCCCAAACTGTATTTTGGATATGTTTTTCATTGCTATCTTTTCCCATAAACTCTGAAAAAATGTATAAAAATCTTGTCCATAACCTTGCTAATGTCTTCAAATCTCCTTGATTTTGTTTGGCTTTTGTAGGAGGGATTTTATTTTGCCTTTAGATTTACCAAATGACACTTTCAACATAGCCATCAGCCAGCAAAAGATTTCGCCTCACAGGTTACACAAGTCCAGGGAGCTTGATCCATTGTGGCCATCAGTGTCATTTATTTGCAGATGTAATAGCCCTCTACATCAGATTTGCCTCGTGGTTTATTTAACAGAGTTGTGGATAGTCTGAAGTCTCTCTGCTAGCTACTGTATGTGGGAGGCCCTCCAGATGGACTTGCTCTGTCCTGAGTAGTTGACTGAAGTGCTTGTATTGAATTGTGGCAGAACCAGCTTTGTCGCTTGCAGGGGCTGAGCCTACACACAGTACCCAAATGCTCCCTGAGAGCCTTTGTGGGCTGCAAGGTGGACCAGATAGCCCAGCTCCTGACCTCACCAACTGAAGAGAAGCCATTAACTACTCAAATCCTCAACTTCCTCCTCTCAAGCACAGGAGCAATTGTCTTGCTCACAAAAATATAGTTAAGATCAAATAAGCAGGTGCTCACTTTTCAAACAGCAAAGCTGTATGTGGAAGTTAATGATCTAGGCATGGTTCCCAATGTCTTTTTACTTAGAAAAAATACATATGGTGTCAATCCAGTAGTCCCCCATTACCCATGGGGATACTATCCACCAACCCCCCTCAGAAGCCTTAAATAGATGGTACTGACCTTATATAAGCTGGTTTTCCTATACTTACATACCTGTGGTAAAGTTTAATGTATAAATTAAGCACAATAAGAGATTAACATCAATAATAATGACAGCAGTTACACCACTGATCTGTAATAAAAGTTACACAAATGTGAGCTTTCTCTCTAAAAGTATCTTATTATAGTGTAGAGCTTAGCCACATAGCTAAGCAGCATCGGATTTTATTTTTTCCTAAAGTGGAGAATTCTCACATTCTCACTTAAAGGAAGGATTTTATGATGACCTCTCTTTGGCTTGCTCAAATTGCTTGCATCATGGCTCTTATGCTGTCAGAGAGTTATTAAAGTTATTAGATAGATAAAGGTTCCTCGAACACAAGCACTGCAGTGTCACAGTCAGCCTGATAACAGAGGCTGAGTCACTAATAGGCAAGTGGCTTATGCAGTATGAACACACAGGATGAAGGAATTTTTTACATTCTAGGCAGAGTGGAGTTTCATCATATTACTCGGAATGCTGTACAGTTTGAAATTTGTGAATTGTTTATTTCTGGAATGTTTCATATTCTCAGACCACAGTTGACCATAAGGTAACTGCAATTGCTAACTGTAGGTAAGGAGAGACTCGGGCACCAAGTACCAGCCCACAGCAGGTTCTCATGGCCCAGTTCACAGCCTGTGTTTAGGGTTCTTTGGTGCACTTGACCCTTCTGGACTTAAATAGAGGAGGATCTCGGCCTAGGGTAGTACTGTCACACGAGGAGGGTGCTGTTCCTGAGCAGAGCTTACACATGCATGAGACATTTTCTCTTCGACTCAGTATATTTTTAGTCATTATAAATTAAAACCTGGTGATGTTCACATAGAAGCTGTCTTTTGTTGCTAGTCAGCCTGTTGTATGGCTCCTAAATGAAATGCCCACCTTACTTCTTTTCTCAGCGAAGTCCTGCATTCCTGGGCTTAACTAGCAATTCCAACTAAGCTGTCCTGGGCCCTTCCTTCTTTGCAGAGTGACCATGTGTTCATGCACTGTCTGGAAAAATGCAGGGAGCCTTGGGCACTGTTTCTCACTAAGAGCCTCATAAAAAGTGACTAGGATACCCTAAGTCACTTGCATTTATGTACAAATGGTGTGCATTGTGTCACTTTCCTCCCTTCCTTGCTATTTCATTCTGACTATGTAAGCCCACAGCCCCTTTCTGGATAGGACTTGCCTCCCTAGCAAAATGAGAGATCCCTAATGAGATTCCTGCGACAAGTAATAGACCTTGCTGCATGTGGTGGTGCACGCCTGTAATCTCAGCACTCAAGATGCCAAAGCAAGAGGATTATTGTGCATTTGAGGTTAACTTGGGCTACCAAGACCACCCTGAACTGCAGAGTGAAACCCTGTCTCCAAAAAAAAAAAAAACAAACAAAATAGATCTCAAATACGCATTATGTCCTGATGGATAAAATAAGAGCCTTTATTGAGCTTATATCAAATAGCCAGTAGTTTGCTTATTATCTTACATATCCGAAAGTAGTTTTAGGGTTGGCATTTTCCTCTCTTTTAGATTAACTAGGTGGGTTGAGAGAAGTTAAAAAGGCCTTACTGGCAGCCTTACATCTTGGCAGGATAGTGACTGTAGCACCTTTATGTCAAAATGAATTCTTATGATCTTTCTGCTCAGGCTTCAAGAGGAAATTTTTCTCTGGGACTTGTAAAGCATGTGGCTGTGTATGTATACACTAAAAAACAACATAGAAACAAAGTTACTTCAGTAAGTGTAATTACCTTTCGTTTTGCTGGAACACAGTAGCCAACATCCACAATTTAAAGGAGGAGAAACTTAATTTAGCTCACAGTTTCAGGAGATTCAGTATATGATCTCAGGATCCAAAGCAGAAGCCTCAAGGTGGAAGGGCAAGGTAGAACAAAGCTGAAATATCCCTAGGTTCATAGCAACTGGGAAGCAGAGCAAGGGGAACAGTGCCAGAGAGAAATGGGCAAGGGACCATATGTAATTCTCAGGATCAAGCCTCCGTGCCCCGTCCAGACACTTGGGAGTGTGCTTTACCAACCTAGTAGGCATTTCTTGTCAACTTCCACCTAAAAACATCTCCTTAAGGGATACTTAATCTCTAAATAAAGATGATAGTAGCTCATAATTCATAATATAGCTGTCCTGAGTACAACAAAAAATGCAATAATTTCTTCCCCAAAGTCTAGCATTTTTCAAAAGTTCAAGTCTTTTCTGAGACTGAAGGCAAACTTGTAGCTGTGAACACCTGTAAGAATTAAAAACAAATTATGTAATCCTAAACTACTCAATATTCTGATTACAAAGGAGAGGAATGAGGGGGGATAGAAATTATTGGGCCAAAGCAAGACAAAAACATACAAGGCAGACATTAAGTTCTGTAGATCCATATCTGCCACCACAGATACACAGTGGTAAGATGTGAGTGCGAGAAACTGTGGGCAGGCTACCTACGGCCTTGCTGGTTGTCCCCTGTATAGCCTCTCTTCTGGGGTGACTCCATCTGGGTTGCAGCTTTTCTCAGCAGATGTTCTATATTCCTGGCATCTCCACCTTTCTTGGGTCTGCACTAAACCTGTGGTTCCATTCCCTCAGCTGCATGCACTGCCTTTTCAGGTTCTTTTGAAATCTGGTAGAAGCCTTTCAAATTCTTCCCACAATTCAATTCTTATGTTCTACATGCCAGTAAAACAGCATCATCTGGATGCCACCAAGGTTGGCTATGGCTGTAGTACCCTCTTAAGTGCCTAGATGGCTGAGAATAGGCAAGCAAATCCCAGAAAACCTATTCCCTGGGAAGCCCTTCTCAAGCAGATATCCCAGGGACTCTCTTCTTAAATGAAAAATCCACACTTTTGCATCCTTGAGCCTTTGATGTCACTGAACTCCTGGGATTCCCTGAACTCATCCTTTTTCCCTGTAAATAAAGTACCTTCTTTGTTTTTAATGGTGCTAATCTCTTTAGCTGCCATCTTTCCTTTGGTCCCAATTTTATACACTGTTCCTTCTGGACCAGAGTTTTAAGTTTTTTCAAATTTTTATGCTCTGCCTTTTGTCTCCAGTTTCATTATAAATCTGGATAAAGGGAACCATATATTACACCTCAGGCCATGTCTCTATGACCCACAAGACACTAATCTGGCAGGACACATACTAATCTGCTAGGTAGTTCTTTATCTAATGAAGGTGATGTATCAGGATTTATGTCTGTAATCGTCATTTAAAGAAATACCTTTCTTTGTTGTTTTCCAGTTAATAAAATTGGCCTGGATTTTGAAGGAGAAAACTGTGGAAATGCAGAAAAGCTTGCAGAATATATTTGTTCCAGTAAGTAGCAAAAAATCACTCCAAGTAAAGTCCATTTTTATGTTTGTTGATTTTTACATCACTTCCTAGGGAATTTCTTGGTATAGTCTCAGTGGTGATACTGATTGATGAGCATCAAGTGAGCCAGTCTGGACCATATCCTATATATATTTGTTATGTCTGTACTTGTTTGAGATTTAGTGTACCTCTTCTTGTTCTCTATATCAAAGGCTTGAGACAACTCGAACATAATATGAAATAAAATGTTTGGAGATGAGACAGCAGAGAGGCCATCTGACATGCTTCTAAAGATAGCAGAGGCAGTTGGTGGATATGAGTACTCTTCCCTTTTTAATCTGTCTTTTCCTTCCTCTGAGGAACTTCTTCCTTTACTGAATTCTTTCCCTCTAAAACTTGCTCCCAAAGAAAGAGCAGATTCTCTTAATAAGCTCATATTTGGGCATCGTGTGCACAGGGATCTAGAATAGCTCTAGTTCTAGGGATGTTTGCATTTGAATGTAGGAATTAAGCCTCAAGCTATTGCCAGATTTTAAGCTTCTGAAGAAGACACAGGCATGTTGGAACTTAGGACTCTGGGAAGCCAAGCCAGCACCTCCCCTCCCTGGTAAGCGGGGGCAGGGTGGCAGACTGCAGCCCTTCCAGGGGGAGAACCAGCACTGTCTCCTGAGATCCACACCATGTTGGAACTGAGGACGCAGTGAAAACAAATGACCATTCTGCCTCCTTGCTTAGCAATAGTGAACTTACTGCTACATGGCCTAGAGTCAAATATCCCACTTCCCTTATCCTCCTTCTCCTCCCCCTCCCCGTCCATTGGCATGTGGGAACCAGAAATCTGAGCATCTCCTGGGAAGTTGACCATAGCAAATAAGGGGGACTTCTTTCTACCATTTCTTTGAAGGCAAATATTTTTATTACTGTTATGCTCTTTTCTTATTAGTGGTACTGCTCTATTCAATATTCTGTTTTGATAAGTTCTATAGTGTTCTATATTTCATCTCATTTTGATATACGGGATTAAAAGAACAACTATTATAAAGGTAACAGAATATACTGTGATACTTATTACTGTTATCCCGGTAACCTGCTGTGAAGTTCTGTACCAATTTCACTGTTCGATCTTAGTTGGCTTTATTCTGACTTATTCTGTTATATACTTTCAAAATAAAAATTTAAAAAAAAAAGACACAGGCAAGGACTTTTGGAGCAGAGATTTCAGAATGAGAGGAATGGATAATGAATTTATACATCTTGGGAAGTTCTACTTCTAGGTTGCATCCTCCATCTTCTTTCTTCCCGTGTATCTAGTCCCACTGCAGAGCTAGGCTCTCATAGCCATAACATACAGCCACATACAAGTAGAATCTTCTTGCCCTGTCTCACTGAAGAGGAGATCAGAGCATGGCTTCATTAAGATCAAGGGCTTACAAACTTTACCTGTTAAAGACTAGATGTTTTAGGCCATGATCTTTATCAAAATGAGCAAATTCTGCAGTTACAGCAAGAAAGAGGTCATAGAGAATTTGCAAGCCCTGGACTTGACTTTGACCCAGGACAGTAACTTCTGACTCCTTTCTAAAATTGCTTGGGTGTCTGCTGAGTTGGAAGGAGAGATTATATGGAGAGCTAACAGCTAAGACTGTCCCCAGAGAGGAATGTTTTCTTTGCCCCGTGGGTAGTGTTATTAGGGCAGGGCAGGGCCAGCAAGCCATTCTCAAGTTCTCTGTCCTCTCTTCATTTTCTTTCCAGTTTTCATTTTTAAAGTATATTTCTATTAAATTAATTTTAAACAGCTACATGCAAATATTAAAATTAATAATAATAATTATTATTATTAAGATTATATATTGGTGATACCAGTTTTTGTCTTAAAAACAGTTTTAAGGGCTGGTAGTGTAACTCAGTGGTGTAAGGTGCTTGCCTAGCATGTGTGAGGCCTTGGGTTTGATTTGTGGGTTCTGATAGAACTATAGGGAACTGCTGGCGGCTGAAAAGATAAGAAGTATGAAATATAAATGACCTTCATTTTGAGAATGCGGGGAGAGACATCCCCCGACCCCTGGGGCGTGGCATCTCCACCTCAGGGCCAGAGATCTCTCCGTGGAACATGTGCAGTGAGACATGTAAGTAGCCTCGGTTTGGGGTGGAACCTAAGGGGGCATTAGGGATGCACAGGTAGCCTATTGGTCTTTGTTTGGCACCATAGGTAAATTCCTAAGGGTGGGGGAGATAGGAGCTCCTAGGCTTTACCGGCTATAGTGTCCTGTCTGGGCCAAAACCCTTTCAGGTTCCATCCCCAGCACCACAAAAATAAATAAGTAAATAAATATGCATTATATCTTCTCAGACTGCCATGTGCTCTGTGTTAATATTGAAATCAGCATTTATTGGGTGCTCAGTGTGTCCCAGGAATTTGGGAACTTCTCACCTGCTTCATATTACTTAATCTTCACCACTGCTCAGGAAAGTCAGAATTGTCTCCACAATAAGCTGAACCACCCAAAATGGTAACTGCTCATCACTGTGGCTGATTAAATTTACATTTTAATGAATTCTAATCAAATCAAATTGAACATTTCCCCAGTCACACTGGACACGTTTCACAAGCTTAGCTGACACTTGTGGCTAATAGACCTCCAGTCAAACAGCACAAAACATTTCCATCACCCCTAGAAGTTCTTTTTAACTGTGCTGTTCCAGAGTCTTTGAGGGACCAAGGGTTTTGTCCAAGGTCTCAAGCTATAAAATGGCAAAGGAGTTTAACTTAGCACAGCAAGGCCATCACTCTCTGGCCAGCACCTTCAGCAAACCTTACCAGGCACTGCTCTGTGTTTTTCTGCGCACAACAAGCTGCCATCCAGGCACCATCAGCTACTTAGATGCAGGGTGATGAGCCCACCACAGTAAGGGCTACAGTGGGTCTGCCTCTGGAACCAGTGGAGCCTCAAGGGGCCTCCAGCTTGGTGGATATGCACAGACCTTTTCTGATCAGTCTGCTTCAAAGGAGTTAGTTGTAGCCGTGAAAGGTTTAGCTGTTTGGAGCTACATTTCCCTATGCTCCATGAATTCATGCTAATTGGTTTGGGCAGATCTATTGGGTATTTGATGCATTGACTTAACTTCTTACCCCTATACTGCCTGCCATGTCACTAGAGACCAAGTCAGTTCATCATAGTGCATGTACCCAGGAGCACCTATGAGCCAGGCCCTTTGCATAGTATCCAGGGCTGGAAAGGGCTCTGGCCACTAGGAGCTCCCTGTTTAGATTGTCCTAGGGAGGTAGGGTGGATTAAGCAACAAGAAGTGGTGTAAACAGTTTAGCTGTGGTAGGCAATTGCCATGGTATCACTACTAGGATAATACTTGTGACACCAAGTATGTGGGATTTTCCCTCTCATGAACAACTACTTCTTTAACTCTATGGATACTAGCTGATGTAGGTAACTATGACCACTAAGAATCACCTCATGAGCATAAGCTCCTGTGAGGCTGAAAAGAGCTTGCTTGCTATGAGTAATGCAAAATGTTCTTCACATATCTGTTACTCAGGAAGGGTTTTGGAAGCTGTATGCTGCAATTTACTTCAACCCTGACACTAATGACCCAGATTTTGTATAGACCCACAGTTCAGAGCTGAATCCCACAAGAGTGTCCCCCACTTTAGGTGCAAGGTACCTACATTCTGAAAAACTGGGCTGTAAATCAGGGATGCCATAACTGTGTCCTTGGGTTCAGTATCTTGCTAGAATGGTTCATAGAATTTAGGGAAATATTTTACTCTACTTGTTCATTATAAAGAATATAAGGATACATATGGACAGCCAGATGAGGAGGTGTATAAGGCAAGGGTCAGAAAAGGCCTGAGCACAGAAGTTTCTGACCTTGAGAAGTTGGGAGATGACATTTCTGGGCATGTAGATATGTTCACTAATTTAGCAGCTTTCTAAACCCAGAACTTAGGGATTTTATGAAGGTTCCTCTGTGTAGGGTGAAATCATTGAGAACTGGTGATTAATTCAACCCCCAGTCCCTCTCCTTTCCCCAGAGGTGAGGAGTGGGGCTTCTAATCATATAGTTGGTTTCTATCTACCAGCATCCATTATGAAGTTAGGGCCTCCAAGGGTCACCCATTAGGCTGGACTGGGAACAGCCAGACCCAGGTCTGTCCCCATGAGTCAGCATCATTCACATACTGCAGAGAGAGAGAACAAGGCCACACCAACAAACAAACCCAGTCTGAGAACCAATGCCATGTTTAGGCCACCACCGGAAATGGAACAGCCAGACCCCAGCCCTTCCGGTGCATGGGCTGTCAAATAAGAAGTACCAGTTCCACACAAACACACCCTACCCTTTATAAGCAACCAGCTTATCTAGAGAAACACAGGCTGTGATGATAGCTATGGAGGTGAAATACAATTGGATTCCTGTGGTGCTTTGTGTTTCACCAACATTCCAGGTCTAGGGCCAGTGGTTGGTCATGGGTTCAGAGGATAGCAGTATCAGTGTGGTATCTAGAGTGATCTCTTCCTGGGAGTTATAGCCATTGTTGATTCCTCATTGTCTTGTGTTAAAGTCCTACATTATTTCCATTGTTTTGTTGGGTTGGGTTTTATTCTCTTTTGTTTTGTTTGATTATAAATCCAATGGCAGGAGCAGCTATTTCAAAAATAGCAAGATTTATTATGGTAGCAATCTTGGATTTACTATTGGCTTATTTTGAATTCCTTTACTGCATTCATTATTTTTTTTATTGTTTCTATTCTATTCGGTTTGATTTTTACTATGTCCAAAGTTTTCTACAGCTATTTTGAAGACATCAAAAAAGCATTATGGTAACTATTGTTGATTTTGTAATGTTTTGAAGTCCTGTATCACTTACACTGGTATGTTTTAATTATGTTTCATTCTGTTCTATCTTCTTTAAAAAAAAAAAAAAAAAAAAGTTCAGAGTTACCCCACTAGCATAAACTCCTGAGGTTGAAGGGCTTGCTGTGAAG